CATATATTCATAAACAAATATCAAGTGTATTTGTTAGGTAATTATAGTATTATGTTCTTAAACATATACTAGTATAAATAGATGCCATTTTATGCCTTCCTATCCATTATTTGTTTATTCTTTCGCGTTTTTACGTACAAAATATACAGACACTCAATTTGCTTATACATGTACCTTAATTACAAGACTGGTACAATATTCTGTCAAAGTCTAAGACTTTTGTCTATATTCAACATGCCTTTAAAAGTTTAAGACGTAAATCTGTAGAAGGAACTGGTCAAATAATGTCATTGCAAGTCTTAAAAAACGCAGTAACCAGTTTTGTGATGTCTTTTAGTCACTTATATACGATAATACACAATGATACTGAAGGTAAACAAGCACAGATACTTGTTAAGAGAAGGCATATTGGAAAATCACATTTATATGATGGAGTTGTGTCCGACTTGTTGCCTTAGTAGCAGCAAAAACGTAGACTGCATGATTTTGAAAATAGGTTATAGTCTTGCCAGCCCAATAGATATAACAGGGAAGTCATGCTGATCTTATGGTGATAAGGGGACATTATGCTGATGTCTGCGATATTTCCCTACATTATACACTTTCACTCTGCAATAGACATAAAATAAGAAGCTAAATCTAACCAAGGTAATCGTCTTAACTCTGGTAAGCGGTTTTTAGGCCATTTCTGACTCAATTTGTCTATAAATGGTACAACTGTACCACTGTTGAAATACAATAGTTTATAGCTTTCTATAATCATTTACTCAAATACATTTGAAGGGCAAAAGGAAAACAACGAATATCGTCTTACACACGAACACACTTTATTTTATAAAATGATATAGAAGGTTTCTATACGAACTACTAGTTATGATCAGTTTAATTTGAATTCAACTAATAAAATGACTCTTTTAAAATGAGCTTCAAAAGTCTGAAAACATAAAATTTGTTTTTTACACATGTAATGAGACGGAAAAATATACAAAGAGATTTTAAAAACATACTGAGAATTAAAATGTAAATCGTTTTTTCGAGCGATTCTAAGCCATATGCTAGTAAAAAGCATCAAACGCTTATCATTGTACACATTGCACGATAAATAATTCTAAAAAAATGGAATCTGCGAACAGACTGAACTGATTTTACAGTCCCAACTTGTCAAAAAAAAAAAAAACAAAAAAAACCCCCAAAAAACATTGGATGTGTTTCTGTTCAAAAAGCAAACAAGCCCAATCAGTGAATTAGAAAGATAAAAACCTTGGAAACAAAATGCTTAGTTATACGAAAAACAATTTTGAAAAAATAAAATCTTACAAATATTCTTTAAATTGTCTAAACATTATATATTCATGTAATATGACATTGAATCATTCTTATTATACACCAGAACTTGTTATTTAGAAGTGTATTACGTGTAGATAATGGCAGGAAATTTGAAACATCAGGGAAATTATTAACATAAATAGAATAAACAACATTGCGAAAATAAACAAAGATAATGGACACCATATTAAACATGGTGGATATAAGAAACATAAAGGAAATTAGAAACATGGATGACTTTAGAATATTGGATGAAACTAGAAACATGGAGGGAGTAAGAAACATAGTGGAAAATACAAAGATCGTCAGGGCATTGAACTAGTTTCATCTTTTATTCTAAAGTCATCCATATTTCTCATTTCCTTTATGCTTGTTATATCCACCGTGTTAAATATCGAAATACAATTTAGAAATAAAAAACACTTAAATTAAGCGTTACGCTAACGGAAACCATGTCAGGGTCACCTAAAAGCTAGCTATATTTACTTTAAAATGTCGCACTAAAGAATATTATGAATAATTACGAGTAGTAAAATAATTTCATAACAATAATAAAACTAGTTAAAAAAATTAACATCCAAAGACAACAATCAAATAAACTATAATAAGCAATTAAAATTAAGAGCAAATGTCAACACTCAATATACCTGTTCCGTTTCTCTAAAATGTTTTCTTTTTCTAATCTAAACCCTTTTTATGTCATACACTGTCACAAAACAATCAATACTATGAAAAGAACTGTTGGCTATTAAACTGTCAAATAACAAACATGCACATATTTATAACACACAGTTACCTATATTATACTGTCAACAACAAAATAATAATGAAGCCCCCCCCCCCTCTAAAAAGAAAAAAAGAAAGAAAAAAAAAACCACAAAAAACAACACAACACTTAAGCACGGTTTCATAATACAGTAAAGAATTATATTAAGACCACCGATGATGGGACTTGACCAAGGCGGATCAAACAATATGTATTATAACGTTCAAACACTTTCAAGTGTTTCTACTGTATACACATATATTCGTTCAGTAATCTATCTAACATAATGTCTGATTTAAATGTTTGAAACATAATTTAAATATTACAATTTTGTTGAACAAAATGTAAGGAAAAACAATAATTATATTTAAATATCAAAAGTCAAGTATTTATATACGCCATAATAGCTATATATTTAAAACAAACATTGGCAATATTGTCTCAATACACTAACGAAACCACCTTTGTTTCGTTTCCTGCGCACCAGAGTCTGCAGGGTATTGGTACGAGTTTAATTTTTGAGGCATGGAGAAGCACGTGACCTGTTTTCGGTTCATGGAGGAGCATGTGATATGTAAACCGCACATGATTTGTTAATAGACCTTTTCGAAAAGCGTTTGCTAAATACCGTTTGCTTGTACGTTACGGATTTACCTCTAGGGAATTAGTCCAAATTACACCTTATTAAGGTAGTACGACCCTAATGCACTATCTCCACTTTGAAGAGTATTCCAATAGGCTAGAATCACTGTAAAGTGTATTGAAACTGAAGGGCGTGGGTTCAAACCCCAGAAGGGGCAACTATTTTTTTTTTATTATTTTTAACATTTTTTATTAATCTCTCAGATTCCTAATGGAAGTAAAAAGTCTTTCATTTTAATTATATAATTATTGTAGGTATTTATTTACTAGATAATGCCAAATTTAATAGCAAATATGATACCAGATATTTTCAAAGTTTAATAAAATAAAAACTACACGGTAAAGGTATTTTATATTATGCAAGACCAACCAATATACATCTAAAATATTTAGGCAAACATTGAAAACAGCCCCTGATTGTGGAAAATTTTAGGGATATTTTAAATAAGGCTTTCTACACAGGGAAATGGTCAAAAAAGTATTAAAAGTGGGTTACATTTTTAAACATATTAAAAACATTTCGTTTAAAAACAATCATTTTGCTTGTTTAATTTGTAACCTAAATGTCATTATTTGTTTTTTAACAATGAGCAATAGGAAAACATTTTTCATAATGATGATATTATAGATTATTTAGAGTTTCCTCATTCCTAAAAAAAAGCCCTTCTAATGGCAAAGTTTTAGTTCAGGAAAATGTCCATTACTTATAAACCACACGGTCAATTTTGTTTAAATTTTGCATACAGGTGACATTTAAGGCATATAACTGTCGTCAATTTTACAGTTCCTTATAGTGCCCTTAGGGGTGTTCTACCTTAAGACCATAACACTATTACATGATATTTCCAATTTTCTTTAATTAGTTTACCGTTTAATGTGAAAAAACTTGCATGATGTGTTTGAAATTATCAATGCTTCTTAAATATCTATGATCTCAAAGTTTACAGACAATAAATTGTTTATAGTAAAATTCTACAAAATAAGAACATTTGTAGTGGCATCTGCCATAATAAATAGAGATATTTTCTGCGTAGAATTGTGTCTTTACTTTATTTTTTGTTACCTTTTTATTCATACAATGGTATTAAATCATTTTCTTAAAAAGAAATAATTATTTCAATTTCGCCCTTCTCTGGTCTCGGGTCTTCAACTGTCAACCAGTCTCCAAAGATCTTCTTCTATTGATCGATTAATTGTCAACTATATTCCTGATACAAGCGTTTATGTTTTTTTTCCCCCAAGCAATGTTGACAAAAGCTAAACGAAATATCTTTAAATTATTAAAAATGTCCCCCACAGGAAACCATTTTACTTGTTACTGTATATAGAATAGCTAATAAGATACTTAGGTACAAAATAAATCGAAAATAGAAATAATCTTAGTTCCGTACTGTAGATAACACTGCTAAATAGCCAAAACTAATTTTTTTATTAGAATACAGTGCCTTTCCTTAAGAAATGATGGTACTGCCACTATTTATTTTTTATGAAAGGAAAATGTTTACTTTCAAAAGCACATACTTGTAAAATATGAAAAACATCAACCGAAGTGGCATTATGTCCATCCAAGTGTAAATGATGGGCGTACATGTTTAAGTCAAATTAACGTGGTAAATCTAATATAATAAGGGAAATGAATACTTATAATAAAATACCACTTATTCATAAACAACAACAGACATATGTTATGAATCTTAACAATCTAATCCTATCAGCAATACAATTAATCTAAAAATCACGATAGCAAGCATTTTTCCAATGACGTCAGATACATAAATTTTATGTTTAGACAACTTTTTTTCCTATTCCATCTTATTTTAACTACTTGTATGTAACGAAAATATATGGTGCATCAACATTTATAAATCACAATAATATTAATAATCCCTTTATAATTTATTAGTCGGATTTACGATTAAATGACCTATATATTTTAGTACAAAGAGTAACAAAAATGTTATATATAAAACCCAAATCATTTATTAAACATTGTTATTTATATGTTGAAATTGGATATATAAAATTTAATGCCATTTATGGTCCTGAGAAATTATTTAAATAAGCCGCTGTTATAAGTAACGTTCTTATTGTGTTACAGATGAATCTTGTAAAGGTTAGTTTTGTGATAAGATTGTTACTGCTAGTGTTTTCTTCATCGTTCCATGAATAACACTATTAGAATACTTCAGAACATTTTGTGCTTTGTTTTACGTGAAAAAACTGGACTTGAGTTTTGTTTATTTCTTCAAACTTCAAATTACCATCATTATACAGAATAAGTTTCAGAAAGGCTTTTTATTGCCGAATGTTTTGTTATATCTTTCCATGATGAGGGTATATCATCGAAATTGTACTGATAGTAGTCACTCAGCCTGTCTTTATATGTCGACACAAACCACATCCAATATCTACAGGTATCATGCATATTAGCTGATGGAGCTATATACCATTCTTTCAGGATCGTTTTATAATCTCTGAAAGGATGCCTTTCTTTACCGCATTTTTCTCGTTTTTCATTGTTGCATTTGTAATCAAAGACTACACAACGATGGCTTATATCTGTTTGTACATATAATTCACACGATGCTAGCTGTGCGATTCGAGATTCAACAATGTGAATTCCTATGCAGCATAAAGGTCGATGCTGCATGCAGTTGTGATCGGAGTCTGCATGATCTTCATTTTTTGTACATGGTTCACCGCAAAATGGACACTGTTCCTGACATCCCCATATCTTTTGTATTAAACGCTCAATAGGACTCGAATTTGCCCATTGTACAGAACCACAATCAACTTTATTAAAGCGGGACACAAGATCCGCTTCTGTTCTCCCCAAACTCTTTAAGACTTCATCTGTGAGGTATTCTAAATTTTCAATAGTCTCTGTTTCCTTCTTCATGCTTCTGAAATTTTCTGTGGTAATAAAGAAACCTGACTCTTTCATTAGGATCTGAAAACATTTGACCCAGTGATCGATGGAAATGCCTAATTGATTTTTGGATTCCTTGCGTATATTTTGTACGCACTCCTTTACAGTATGAAACAAATTTTGTAGTATAAATGATGATGATTTCGAGTATAACCTTGATTCTGGTGCAAAAAGAAAATGATTAGCCTTTTCAGTTATCCATGAGCTTGCATAATCATTTGGAGCACGTATGTATCGAATGAAGTTATTGAAATCGCCTTTTTCCAAAAGATCAGTGCATATTTCAATTATAGCTCTATTTTTCGCTGAAGGAAGATTATCATGAAGATAATCAGTTACTCTATTTGGAAGCGTTTGTGATGTCCATTCGTCAGCGAAACTTTCAATGACGTTGACAAAAAGTTTCGAGACAACATCTTCTAATAAGCGACCACGTAGGTGAGCTTCGAAGCTTATTTTTTGTTGTATTTTATATTTGTTAAGACGAGCAGCAGCACCATAAATTGTAAAATAGTTTTCATTATGTTTCTCGAAAACCACATGTGCATGCCTACTTACATGTACAAGCAATTTTACATAAAATGGCATTTGAATTTCAAAATTGGTATCCCCCTTAAACATATTAGTTATGCTTAAACTAATGTCATGCAAAAATTTATTTATAGTAATTTCCGTTATTTCTTCTCCGATTTGAAAAATTCGTTCGATCTTTTTGTCAACTGCTCCAAATACTTCATCCGCCCAGGTTTCAACATTCTTCATTACATTTGTCCGGAAAAAAAGATCGTCTGTTTTTAGCCATGCTGATAAGCTGACATCTTTTTCATCAATACCTGTGTAACTGAATGTTCCCTTTAAAGTTGTAAAAATTGGCAATGGTGTCAAGTGATTGCTTTTTTCCAAAGCGTTTCTTAACGCCACAAAATCGCTCTTATTCGTATTCTTAAGACAAGCATAAAACATATCGATTGTTTTTGTTCTATTTGTTTCTAAATAAGAGGGGATATGTACGTTCTTTACAAATGATTGCCAGATACTATCGAAAAGATTATCTATTGCGTCTTCGCTTAATGGTTTACCTAGATTTTCTTTAGCAATTTCCATAGACATTTTTCTAAGTTCCTCTTCATGCTCCTTGCAACACGTTACAGTAAAAATTTGTACAGCTCTTTCATGAAGATCTTTCTTTATTCGATTTTCAATTGATTGTTCCAATGTTCCACACAATTTGTCGAAACGGAGTGCTTGACTCTTTTGCCATTGAATAATAATGTCCTTGTATTTGTCGTTTTTGAAATATTCTTTGACGACTTCTTCGCTTTTTTCCTTTTCAGCAAGCAGTAGTTCATTTAATTCTGAATTCAGAGTCTTTTCTACTCTTGATAAATTATCTTCCTGATCACAATTAGCAAATCCGTTTCGAGATTTGTGTATTATCTCATCTCTTATTAGGATATCTAGATTAAAAAGTTGATCTTGAACAAAACATTCCATTGCATTATAAGCTTTGATTTCAATGCTGTTCCTAAAGGAAAATACAAAGTCTTCATTCAGAACACCTTTCCATATGTTATATGCATGTTCAGTTATATCGTTTAAAGATTTGTAGGATTTATCTTTAATTGTCAAGGCTTTTTTTAAGATTCTGGACTTAATGTCTACTACACTTTCACTATATGCTGTATTAACTCTAGCCATCGGAGGATTACCTTGCCACAGATTTTTGAGATACCATACTTGAGAGTTTATATCAAATTCAATTACCTGATTGAAAGTAGTTATATTTTTAATATAAATGCTTTCTGCTGATTCCTTAGTCACCTCATCCAGAGTTTGTATTAATTTACTTAGACCGCTCATCAAATTTTCGGACGCAGCAATATCTGTTACATTTTGATGAATGAAAGCACAACTTTTCTTTAAGTCTAAGGCTTTGTTTGTCATTTTCAATCTAAGCAATGCATGGACAAGTACTTGAAGTATATCTCGTATTTCGCTTGTATTTTCCCCCATTATATTTATCAGTGTTATATCTCCTATTCCAGTAATTGCAGTTGCTAATTCATTGTCATGTTCATGTCGTAAATAATTTAATTCAGGTGATCTCAGCCCTTCTGTGTCGACAACAAGAATATAATTGTAATCTGATGTTTTATCTTTAAATTTAGTAGTATCTACAGGTATCAGTTTTGCATGAATACCCCTTGTACACCTTCCGCTCCGGGTTGAAAACTGACAACCAAACATAGTATTTAAAAAAGTTGACTTTCCTGAGCTTTGCAGCCCTAATACGCTGAGTGCAAGAACCTTGCCTGCTCCAATGGAGTTATTAACTTCGTTTAGTACAGCCTTTATCCATTTATAAGGCATATAAAAACTTTCTCCATTAATAAGTTCTAACTGATGTCCATCAACAACAAGACGGCCAATTATTTTTGACATTTGACTTACTGGAGGAAATGTTAATGTATCACAGTCTTTTTCTAGTTCTAAGATAGCCTCATTTATATGTCCTATTTCACGGAAAAAATGTTCTATGGAAAATGATGCGTCATCTATCTGTTTCTTCTAATTCTGTTATGGTGTTTTCTTGTTCTTCTTTATCAGATGGAACTTGTTTTTCACGGCTTTTAAGAAGTTTTAACTTTCTCCAAGCTATTCGTTTTTTGTTCATTAATTGAGGCAATGATTGTCGCTTTTGTCTTTTGATATGAAACTGTAGCCAACAAAGAAAATACTTCAGTACAGGAAAATTATTTTCATACTTTCTTAGCATGTCAGTGAAATGTTTAACTGATTTCGTTATTGACATTATTTGTTTTTCTCTTACAATTTTAATTTTAGCATCAATGACGTTTCCCCCTTCAAAACCTTTTTCCCTTTCCCGCTGTTTGATAAGTTTTCCTAATTCTTTTGAAAATTTGCTATGAACAGGTGTCAGGGTTTGCTTCCAAGAACACGATGAACAATCATCATTCATTTGCGTAATCAGGTCATCTGATTCTTTCCTACCTAATTGACAGTTTTCATCATCTTCATCTATTCTTATTTTTATGTTTGCTTGACGTAAGCGTTCTTGATATGATTTAGTGCAATTTGACCCTAATTCTTTTGCTAATAGACATGATATACAGGAGACCATTTCAACAACGTTTCGTTCAACAGTTCTATTATGTGTACACAATACACAGAGATTTATATGTGGTTTTAATTTGAAAACATTTTTCTTAAAGTCATTTACTGCCGATATTGTTTTTTGTTGAATGGGGTTTGCAATAATTAATATTACTGACGATAATTTCAAGAGAACATCAGTAACATTTCTACCCCTTTTTAAAATAGTTTCAATGTCAACTATTATTGTGAGTGTATCCACAAAGGCTGAAATAAAAGTTAGAATTTCTGCATCAAAATGTTGTTCTAAATCACCTCTTTAGTTCAAAAATGTCATTGCATCTTGAAATCTATCCTTTTTATCCCCAATTAACGGCAACCAAAACATTTCAACATGTCCATTTATTAATTTTCTTTCAATCATTCCAAATGGACAGTCATAATTGAAAAAAGTTTTACACCCATGATCCGAAAGAATGCTATTCATCAATTTTGATTTTGAAAAGCGGGGTCGACCCAATCTTCCAAAAGCTATCATTTTTGTTGGAAGCTCAAGAATGTCCATTTCTTTGCATTGAACTTCACTTTTTTCAATGTTTGTTTCGTTATTTTCTATTGCTAAAGATCTCAATGGCCAAACTGATAATACCGATACTTGCTCTACATCACTTTCCCAATATTTATACAAAAACGGTACAGCGATTTTACAAATATACAGTTTTTGTACAACGACTTGTTTCAAAAAAGGATCACAACATTGGAAAATGATAAAAAAAGCATCTAATGGACTTATATCTTTTTTATCGCCAGGTATGTCAGATAAAAAACTCAAAGTATTTTCTAAGTCAATTCCGTTATTCAAATCTTGTTCATTTGTTACTGATATATCCCTAGAATCACTATGCGAACTTATCAATCGTTTCAGGACTAACCACGGAATATCAGTTGAACAAATAGTTCCATTTTCTATCTGATTCCATTCGCCTGTATCTACAGTAACAATGTCTTGGATCGATATTTTACTTGGGTATCTGTCAGTCAACCCAAGGTCTGCTAGCATTTGCCAAAATATCTCATTGCTGGACCCGACAGTACCTGTAATATATAAAACCAATCATTATTGTGCTTATTAAGTTGATGTTTATTCATTATTGAACTATGTTTAATAATTTCTTTTGTTATATTGATAGGTCTTACCATCTTTCTCTTTAAGCTTTAAAGAAGTGAGGTTTATTATTATCATAACATCCGTCGCTCGACTTCTGGGCCCAACTTGTTAGTTCAATTAATACAGACCTCTTTCGGCTAAGGCTACAGTTTGGAGTTTAGTTTAATGTGAACGCTGGTCATAACAGTACAGATTTAATAATTTGTCCACAGTCATTGGGCCGGGTGAAATCCAAAATTGAAAGATATCGTCACGCAAACATAATTACAGCAGCAACATTTCAGTCTATCAGGTGACCGATATTGTGTCTTAATCTAAATTAAGATAAATATACTTAAAATATGTATGGTTATGTATTCATGGCCTCTTATCATTAAAAGACATATTTCTTCATAACTCAGATTCAGAGCTCACATATCGTTCATTAGGGTACTGCATCCAATTTTGAAAAGAAATCGACACAAACAATATGATCACCTTAAAACTGCAACAATTTTGGCTATTAAGTGCAATAGTGAATGCACATAACTTTATTTATTTCTATAAATATGTGAAATTAGCTTAAAATTGTTTCCAGTATTTGGAAGGAGTTGGACAGTGTACTAAACATTGGTGATCATGAATATTATCACTTAACAACACCGTGTTGTACTTTGGTCGTAGAAAGGTGGCCGTCATTCAATAAAAACTATAAGATGTCCAATACCTGAAGATTTTCAGTATTCATTATACACAAGATGCTCTAGATGATATTGGAAGCTTATGAAAGTTTGCTAACCTAAGAGAAAAACACATAGTAATAAAATCTTAGAATAATGACTTTTAGTTTAGTATTTGATTTGCTATAAAAGATTGTGTTCATCTAGGACAAACATTTGATTCTTTATAAACGTGTATAATTTATGTTGTTTTTCATTGTTTCATAAGTATATATTTGACAGATCCTTTCTAATGTGTTTTTCCCAATACAAAAGATTTATGCATATACATCAAATCTATAGTATGGAGGCTATTCGTTGCCAAAAATCCAGCCTTTGACACTTGGCAATGCATACTTTTGTTCTACTAAACAGATTAGTAAAAATCTAATTGTCGATCCGAGAGTTACATATTGCACTGGTATTAAGCATTTTGATTATCTCGATTTGATAAATTGAAAGCTGTAAACGTGCAACTTAGATAAATTGCAAACTGTATTTATAAATGTATAACTTCAAATATGCAACAGGTAGAAATGTAAACGATAGAACGTACACAATACGTTTAATGATGTGCATCATGACGTTGAGAATGTACCTGCATCAACTTGACACACTCAGGTTTACAATACCACACTTTCTTTTTACTTTCTATCGCGATCAACATTTGTAAACGATTTTGCAACTTCCATATATGGAATTATCACGGAAATAGACAAAAATTAATAGGCGGAGCAAATTTTCACGAAAGCAGAATATGAAGAAAGGTAACTCTGGCTGGTACAAACATATTTCAAATTATATAGAAATTGTTATAAATTGCACATACACAAACTGCATTACAGTTGGTAAATTAACATAAGGGAATGTTTCCCATATATTATGATACACACCACGATTTGTTGATATAAACGATAGTATTTGTGTGCCTTCAAAAGTTATACGGTAATACTCGTATGCATATCTTTTACATCTAGCAAATAGTACTAGGATGCGATACATGGAAGTCACTTTTGGACACACGAATAAAGAGAACTGAACAGTAAGCCTGTGCATTCCTTCTTTAAAGGACTGTTGGGTTGTATAAAAACCCATATTTTTGACAAAGTGTATAACCTCGAAACAATTCAAAGTTTACTATCGATAATTCCGTTGTATAGCCAAACATTTGTGAATTTGTCACATTTTAATGTTGAAATAATTATTCAGTGTATCCTAGCATCTATGTTTATCTCCATTGGGAGGTATTTTGAGTCATAGGATGTGATTTAGCCTTTTATTATTAAATATATGTAAGCTGACGTAGGTTAAGGTCTTTTTATGCATTGTACTGAATCAATAGCATCTCTAAAATCTGTGTATACATGCTGTCAATAGCTGTTACCTAGACTTGCTGTCTATCTGATCAAAAGCAGAGAACTATTTTTCAAAACAGAATATTTATTGAGTTTTCGAAGTGATGGCTTTCTAAGAGATAAAAATTATACAATTATTGACTAGTGTGCCATTGAATATGATGTGATATTCACCGGCAGATGACATATTGACCGAAAATGGATATGTACATTTTGTTTTTATCCATGTTGTAATATCTTCTCAGAAGGAAGAAGAAATTAACTGGCATTTCCAATATAAATGTTTATAGTTTCCATATGGTGGTTACAAAAAGAACGTGTATTGACATCTCTATGCTAATTTTATGCAACAGATCATGTTGCTAATATGCTGTGGTTAAATATGTTTATTTAAGAGAAATTATAAATGTATCTTAATGTTTCACACTGAAAGTTCTCTATTACTATATTCGGTATTTTAAAATAAATCAATGATCTAATAGTGTCGCTCATATGTCTTCCAGATAAGACACAAGTTTGGTCTTTACTTATATGTTTATTAAATACAGTCTTAATGCTTTGGGCAATGCTAGCTGATATAAAGGAGGTGTTTAATCTTTTCTTAGAAATTAGAATTATTTGAGTATAGTTTAGCAACGTATTCATAATGATGTTCCAAGGTAAAGTATTTGAATATTAGACTGCGGCTTTGAAATTATTTCCGATCCCCCATATTCTCCAGAATTGGCCCCCTTTGACTTCTACCTGTTTCCAAAACTGAAAACCAAGCTTCGTGGTAGACGTTTTGGAAGCAATGAATGTGTCATGGAGGCGGTCAATGAGTTTTGTGAGGACCAAAATCGAGAATTCTATTTTGAAGGGTTAAAAAAGTTGGAGGCAAAGTGCATTGTTGTAGAGGGCGATTATATTAAAAGTAAGACCATTAGTTGGGTTTTCTGACTACCAGAAGTACATCTGGCCAAGAACATTTTGATCAATCTACGTATGACCAAACACATGAAGAATGTGCTTACTACGTTTCTATCCGTGGGTCTCTATCTTTGGGCGCCAATATGTATGTGCTCACTGTGTGCTGTTGTGGCAGAGAAAAATAAAGAGTTGTGTTTACAGTTTGATGTTGTGTTACCGGTGTGTGCATAAGACTGAAAAATGACATTTATAAATGGAATCTAAATAAATCCACTGGAGTGAACAGTTTGCATTTCTTAACCATTCAGTGTCAAGCTCAGTTATAATTTTTGATAAATAATAATATACCTTTTCTGGACTGTACATTAATTATGAAACTTTATATGCAACAACTTATAGGGTCATTAAATGTACTTTATTGCATTCATTTGAAGACATTACATAGTTTAAATCAAGTGTAGTCATTGATATTATCTTAAACTGTTAACAATTACTATGAATACTAGTAATTGTTGTCTTAGTAGACAAAATTTTAAGATTGAGAAATTGTACAAATGCGCTTTTTAAAACTAAATTAAATGTTTTCATCTTAATTAGAATTCGATGACAGTTTTATGAATTAATATTCAATTTATTCAATTGTGTCTTAGAAGAGAATATATTACAGGGCCGGCAAAATCTGATTTTGACCTGCTTTGTCCGCTTTTATTTGGAGCATTTATTTACTTGTCTATAGTTCTACTTGTCCGAACAGGCTAAGAGATAACCCGGGCAATACAAGCAATTTTCCAGTATTTAAACAGAATATTATTATACACTTATTTCATTTATTGTTTACATACATTTTATGTAATCAACATTCTCACTATTTATTTCAGGTTTAAACATGTATTTGCATACAATACTCACATTCATGTGTATAATCCGAAAATCACCACTGAAGTTTATACAAGTTTATTGCAGATGTCAGGTCTAGTACATTGTCAAATTTTGAAGAAAACTTAGTATTAAATGGCTTAAGTGGCAATTTTTCTTTGTTATAACAGAAATGTATTATTGACCAGTTATAACATGTTTTTAAGCTTTATTTGGTTATTGCACGAACTTCACCACCATTGAACAGTTTTCATGTATTTGATGAAATGAATTTTAAGAACATCTACCACTTTCTCACAGCTAAACTTGCCAGGTTGCAGGAGGGGAAATCAAAAGAACATAATAATGTTACTAGTACATATTTGGGGCAAGGATTTGAGTATCTTTCCATGATGATTGTTGGATGAAAAGCACAGGAAGGGACAGAGTGGCCTATAGTTTACTTTCAGGCTATATGTTATCGGGTCAGTGCATGGTTAACTGGACCAAAATTCTTCCCATATTTTTTTAGTATGAATTAATTTACGTCAAAGAGGTTGTCTCATTTATCACGTGAACATGAGCTATGCTAGACACTACGTAGTTCTAAGCCATGCCTGTTCATGTAGTCTTAAGGAGTCATCAAAATTAATAAATGTTTAAATTTCATGTATTTTACCTTTATATCAGAATCTCATTTACAGACTTATACAAGTATGTGTTTAAATGAATAACTCATATACTAAAGGAAAACGTTTTTAAAGACAAATTAACAAAGTTTAACGTTACGCTTTTGGTAGAGGCTTAAATGTCTGTGTATAAAGGCCCTTTCAATTAATATATGATTCCAGTTGTCACCCTTTGATGGCGTAGGACATTCCGAAATTCTAAGATGCGCATAATTAAAACGTGGAAATTCGTACAATCATTTGAATCAAAATTACAAAACCAATTGGTAAAATTAATGAAATATTCACCATTGTAAACTTAACTTAATTTCAAACATCGTGACCATTTTCGTTTGATCTCAAAAAATAGTTAATATCCAATCATGTTTTATATATAGTTAAATCGTACTTTCTCTTGTCTTTTTGGCTTTTTTCTACATAC